GGCGGGCTGGCCGCGCGGGCGGGGAGGTCACGTGCGGCGCGCTGTCCGCCCCCGACCCTGAGGGGCTCGCGCGGTGGCTGGGGGCACGGTCCCGGTTTTGCAGTCAGGCATTTTTCTCGGGGAGGCTCTCCATCCAGCGTGCCGGGCGCGGCCTACCCGGGGCGGAGAGGGGGCGGAAGTGGACTAGCTCCATTTCGGAGACAGGGACCGCGCTCAGGACAGAGGAGCCGCTAACCGCGGTCACACAGATAGCGGGTGGCAGCGGGGGAAGGAAGGGGCGCTCAGGTCTGACGCATATCCCTGTCGCGGGGCTTCATCTAGCGCCTCCGCGTCGCACCCCTCCTGCTTAAGCCAGGTGGGCTCGAGGGCAGGGATGCGGCCTTCAGCATCCCCGCATTAGGGCATGTCTTGGCTGCAGGCCTTGGGCGCCGTGGGGCAGGACCGACACCTGCAAGTATGATTTAGAGGTAAACGGAAAGGGAGAAAAGTGAGAGAAATGGAGAATACCTTTCAGAGCCCCACCAATGACTTGCTTAGTCCCCAAACAACTCAGGAAGAAAAGAGAACAGCTTCATTCCACAACCATTTCTCTTTGCTTTGGAGACGAACTCCAGAATAGGCTTCTGCTTGAGACCAGGCAGGACGCCTGCTCAGGCGTGTCTGGAAAAGGGACTTTGATCTGAGGAATGAGAATGACTGCTGCAAAAATTTCCAGAGTCTGTGGCAGAGGACAGCCTGTCCTGAGGTACGTGCCTGCAGGGCGATTCTGAAGGCTTGCAGTGGTGGAGGGCACCAAGGGCCGCCCAGATGCAAGTTCTTTTTTTCAGTTTTCACAAGTAAACTGTGAGGTCTAAAAGGCTACTTCCTACCTGTATCCTACCAGGTGAGTTAAGAGAGACTTTGATGTCCATAAATTAAAAGTAGGATGTCAGTGGAGTTGACTGAGGCCTGGGATTTGGAATTCTAAGCAGTCCAGCAGCCCCTGGATACAGCTTTTCCAGGAAGCCTACTCTTCAGACTCTGGAATTCCAGCAGAATCTGCAGTGTTGTCTCGTGTTGGTTGTGGTGTTCGATTACTGCCAATATTGCTTCTTTTTCCCAAAAAATTGTGGTAAAAAAACATGTAAGATCTACCATTTTTAAGTGTCCAGTCCAGTAGTGTTAGGGACATTCACAGTGTTGGGCAACAGGTATCCAGAACCTTTTCATGCAATACTGAGACTCTATACCCATCAAACAACAGCTCTTCATTTCTCCTTCCCACCAGCCCCTGGTAACCACCATTCTACTTTCTATTAGTTTGACTACTTTATTTATTCACTTACTTTTTAAGATTTCATTTTTAAATACTCTCTACACTCAACATGGGGCTCAAACTCACAACCCCAAGATCAAGAGTCGAATGCTCCTCTGAGGCAGTCAGGAGCGCGTAGTCTGACTACTTTTGTTATCTCATGTAAGTGGAGTTGTATGCAATTTGTCCTTTATTTTATTTAGCATAATGTCCTTAGGTTCTTTCATTTGTAGCATGTGACAGTATTTCCTTCCCTTTTTTTTTTCCCCAAAGTAAGCTCTATGCCCAATGTGGGGCTTGAACTCACAACCAGGAGATCAAGAGTCACACGCTCTACTGACTGAGCCAGCCAGGTGGCCCCTTTTTATTATTTTTTTTTTAGGATAACAGTCTATTATACCACTATATGCACCACATAATATATACCATTGATATACCACATTGTTTGTCCATCGACAGCCACTGGGTTCTCTCACCTTTTGGTTATAGTGAATAATGCTGCTTTGAACGTGGATGTGCAAATCTCTAAGGTCCTGCTTTCAGTTCTTTTGGATATATACCCAGAAGTGGGATTACTGGATGATAGAGTACTTATATTTTTTTGAGGTTCCTCCATACCAGATATTGCTTTTAGAATTACAATTATTAATAGTTTAATACCACCTGTTACTATAGATTGTTTAACTCTATGGTATGCAGTAATCTCTTCTTGCATCAACAATATTTGACTTATAACCTCCCAGGAGGGGGACATTCAGACATTATGCATTGCAATTCACATGTAAATCAACTATAGATCTAAAGCTATAAAAATCTTAGAGGGAAAACATAGAGCAAAAGCTTCACAACACTGGATTTGGCAATGATTTTTTTTATATGACACCAAAAGATCCAGGCAAAAAAGAAATAAATAAACCATGAAGAATTTTAAAAATCTGTTCCTCAAAAGACATCATCAACAGAATAAAAAGGCAGTCCACAGAATGGGAGAAAATATTTACAAATCATATGTGTGAGTTATAAGGGACTCATATGGAGAATATAACAGAGAATTCCTAAAAGTTAACAACAACAAAAACAAACCACTTAAATTAAAAATTGGCAAATTTCTGGGGTGCCTCAGTGGCTCAGTTGGTTAGGCGTCTGACTTCAGCTCGGGTCATGATCTCAGGGTCCAGGAATCAAGCCCTGCATCAAGCCCCGTGTCTGGCTCCACACTCAGCAGGGAGTCTGCTTCTCCTTCTCCCTCTGCCCCTTCCCCTACTCATGCCCCCCAATACATAAATAAAATATTTTTTTTTAATTGGCAAAAGTCTTGGATAGACATTGCGCCAAAGAAGATATACCAATGGCCATTAAGGGTATGAAAAGACGCTCAACATCACTAGCCATTAGAGAGATCAAAAGTATTATGATACCACTTCATACCCAACAGGATGGTTACTACCAACAAACACAACCCCCAGAAAATAACAGGTGTTGGTGAAGATGTAGAGTAACTGGAACCTTTGTACACTGTTGATGAGAATGTAAAATGATGCAGCCGCTGTGGAAAATAGTATGGTAGTTCCTCAAAAAATTAAAAATAGAATTATCATATGATCCAACAATTCCACTTCTGGGTATATACCCCAAATAATTGAAAGCAGGGTCAGGAAGACATACTTGTACAACTGTGTTCATAGCAGCCTTATTCACAAGCTAAAACATGGAAGCAACCCATTGTCTATCGACAGATGAATGGATAAGCAAAATGTGGTCTATACATACAATGGGATTTTACTCAGCTTCAAAAAGGAAGGACGTTCTGACCCCTGCTACAACATGGATGAATCTTTTTTTTTTTTAAGATTTTATTTATTTATTTGACAGAGAGAGAGAGAGAGCAGGAACACAAGCAGGGGGAGTGCGGGAGGGAGAAGC